TGGATAGGTGGGTGGAAGGAAGGAATGGTAGAAGGAAAGAAGGGAGGAAGGGAGGGAGGGAGGGAGGGAGGAAGAGTAGGTGGATGGATGGATGGATGGATGGATGGATAGAGGGGTGGATGGGTGGGTTGGTGGATGGATGGAAGGAAGGAAGATAGAAAAATGGATAGGTGTATAGGTAGGTGGAAGGAAGGAATGGTAGAAGGAAGAGGGGATGAAGAAAGGAAAGGAAGGAAGGAAGGAAGGAAGGAAGGAAGGAAGGAAGGAAGGAAGGAAGGAAGGAAGGAAGGAAGGAAGGAAGGAAGGAAGGAAGGAAGGAAGAGTGGATGGATGGGTAGATGGATAGAGGGGTAGATGGGTGGGTATGTGGATGGAAGGATGGATGGATGGATTAAAGGGAGGAAGATAGAAAAATTGATAGGTGGATAGGTGGGTGGGAGGAAAGAATGGTAGAAGAAAAGAAGGGGGAAGGAAGGAAGTGTGGGTGGATGGATGGATGGATGGATGGATGGATGGATAGAGGGTGGGTGGATGGAAAATGGCTGGGTGGGTGGGTGGATGAAAGGAAGGAAGATAGGAAAATGGATTGATGGATAGGTGGGTGGAAGGAAGGAATAGAAGAAGGAAAGAAGAGAGGAAGGATGGAAAGGATGGAAGAAGGAAGGAAGGGTGTGGGGGGGAAGCCAGGGAGGGAGGGAGGGATGAATGTAGAGAGAGAGAGAGAGAGAGAGATGGGTGAGTAGGTGGGTGGGTGGTCCCTCCATCCATCCGTCCATCCATCCATCCATTTCAAGTGTACCCGGTTGTAGCCTTGTAAATTCTGAGAACTGCAGTCCCAAAACATTGGAGAAGCAACTTGGGGGAGATTGATCTATCCAATAAACAAACCAAGACCGTGACTCAAGAAGGAATTACTCACATCAAAGATCTCGAAGCCAGCAATATCCAACACCCCAATGAAATACTGTCGGGGCAGCTTGGTTTCCAGAGTGATGTTGATTCTCATGACCATCCAGGTAAACATCCTCTCATAGACAGCCTTGGCCAGTGCCCCAGTGGAATAGCACACCTGTTTAGGAAAAGGACATTATGGAGAGAGGAAGCTTCCTTCCTTCCTTCCTAAATTCTCTGATAAAGTTCAAGAGAACTAGACTAAACTGGACTGTAGACTAGAGAAGACTAGAAAAGAAAATATAGACTAGACTTGACAATATAAAACAGAATAGAAAACATAGAATAGAAAATGTAGAATAGAATAACTAGAATAGACTAGGAAATATAGACTAGAAAAGATTAGACCAGAGTAAAAAGTATAGAACAGAATTGAAAATATAGAATAGTATATAGAGTAGAATAGAATAGAAAATATAAAACAGAACAGAAAAGAAAATATAGAATAGAATAATTAGAATAGACTAGACCAGAATAAAAAATATAGAACAGAATGGAATAGAAAATATAGCTTAGAATAGAATAGAATAGAATAGAATAGAATAGAATAGAATAGAATA